GCCCAGGCCCAGAGTTCAAGCCCCACGGCCGACAAAAAAAAAAAAAAAATGTCATAATGATTAGCCTTTCCTTAGCCAGGCACTGGTGGCTCATGACTGTAATCCTACCTACTCAAGAGGCTGAGACGTAAGGATTGCAGTTCAAAGCCAGTTCGGGCAGAAAAGTCTCTTAAGTGTCTTCTCTTCAATTAACCAGCAAAAAGCCAGAAATGAAGGTGTGGCTCAAATGATAGAATGCCAGCGTTGAGTAAAAAAGCCAAACAAAATTTCACATACGGGCACTAGCATGCACAAGTGTGCATGCGTGCGCATGCGCCATATACATTCAAGCCCTACACAACTGCAGCTTTCATTGATTGTTTTAGCATTCAATAGCCAAGCCAATGAAACAAGCCAAGCTCTATAATTAACTGTGACCACACTTAGATTTTGGCCATCCAGGTACCTATAATTGTTATTTCCATTTTTAACCATTCTTTCTGTAATACACTACATTTGGCACATTGAAAAACAATGGTCCTTTGTTTGTGTTTTTTCCCTCCATCCCTTGCTCTGCATGTGTTGCTCATCTTCTTTTAACACTGCATGAGCATGCTTTGTCTCCTGCTGGGCTTCCTGAGGATGCTATAGGCCTAGGTGTAACAAAATGTTGCTGCTTTTGTTCTCTGTACAGCTGCTGGCTTCAAATCAATAGACTCTGAAATGCTGTGGGTTTTTTTTTCCAAGTCTAAAATAAAAATAATGGCATGCAGGGCAAGCCAGGGGAAGGGAGGTAGAAAAATGAGGTTATGTAGAGGGAACCCTACAGCAAAGACAGTTACAGGACAATTTCCTAAGAAGAGGTTAAAGTGATACCAATTAGAGGAAACAGAACATTCCTTCCTATGTGCTGCTTTCCTCTGTGTGTGTGTATGTGTGTGTGTGTGTGTGTGTGTGTGTTAGTACTGTTTGAAGCCTAGGCTTTTCACTTGCTTAGCAAGATAAATCTTCAGCTACATACTTCTATTTTTGTACGCAGAGTAGCGAGCTCTGGTAGGGAGTGACTAGTCACGAAGACAGGCAATAGATTCTCAAATAGCATGAAATCTGCCCAACTCTCTACAACCCCACACATAGAGAGAGAGCCCTGCTTTGTGCATTTGGGTACCAATGTGATTCAAGAATGTTGTATTTTTTCAAGTTGAAACAAAGGACAATTTTTGAAGCCCATTGGATTTTTAAACTTTCTTTCTGCCATGTTCTTTTTTTATTTTTTAATTTACTTTTTAAAATAATTTTTAAAGCTCATAGATAAGTCTATCATCTCTTCATTTGAAGAGCAACAAAATATTTTTAAAGTCCATAAGAGTATGCAGAATGTTGACCTCCATAAAATCAACTCACTCTGGAATTTTGGTATCTTTGTCTTGTTTGTATTGATTTATCAATCTTTTCAATTTTCTCTTACATGTTTAGAAAGGACCTGAAATACGGAGCCTTATCATAGAAACATTTAATTGTGTGACATGTGCTCAGAAATAACTTTGGATTCTATCAACTTTCAGATACAAGGCATTGAGAATTTTACGAAAGTAATGATTATTCAAACATCAATTAATATGAAAAAATCCAAACTAAACCCTAGAAAGTATATATCATCACAGAAACTTTCTCTGGAATCAACATTAATAGGTGAGTG